ATACATAAATGATGGGTTAGGAGTGATGCTCGCGGCGAAGCGGTTGCTCAGCTGGCGGCGATGCTCTCTAACGAAGGTGAGGGAGTCCTTTTTATAAACTAAGGGCTCGCTCCTCAGTACATGAATAATGGGTTAGGAGTGATGCTCATGGCGAGGCGGTTGCTCAATTGGCAGTGGTGCTCTCTAACGAAGGTGAGAGAGTCCCTTTTATAAAATAAGGGCTCGCTCCTCAATACATAAATGATGGACTAAGTCCCCTAAGTATTTTTCATGAGTGCTCTCTAATGAAAATGAGGGAGTTTATTTTATAGAATAAGGGCTCGCTCCTCAATACATAGATAATGGGCTAAGTCCCCCAAGTATTTTCACCAAATGTTGATGCATAAAACCGGAGGTCTTGGAACAACGTAAATCCGACCGTGAATCTGCAAGTAATGTAAATAACACAAGATGTATCGTGGTTCACCACAAGGTTTGGGCTACGTCCACACTGATTATGTATTTATCTGAGGGAGAGAGAGTTCGGAGAGTGAGAGCTTTGAGAGGGGGTGAGAGGGCCTAGGAATTAGCCTCTCCCCAATTGTGAGTGTGAGGGGTCCTTTTATAGAATAAGGACTCCTCACTTATTACATATTTGCCCCTTCCTTTATCACATAATTACATTTAAGTCCTCCGAGTATTTGTACAAAATCTAAATACGAGGCCCTAAATATGGTATAAACAGTAGTCCCCCAAGTCTTCAGTCAAGAGAGTTTTTTGGCTGGAGACTTGAAATTTAGTCCATGTGTGGGTCGAAGTAACTAGATGGCGTCTGGCACTGATACTCGACATAAGGCGGTGCCCAATCTGAAATGATGCTTAACTATAAGTAGCACATGCCGCGAGGCTGCTCGACTCGTGGCTTATGTTGCCTTGGTTGGCTCGGCTTGTGGCGTTTAAATGTGAGGGAGTCCCTTTCATAGAATAAGGGCTCGCTCCTCAATACATGAATGATGGGCTAGAGTTTATGCTCACGCCGAGGCGGTTGCTCAGCTGGCGACGTTGCTCTCTAATGAAGGTGAGGGAATCTCTTTTATAAAATAAAGGCTCGCTCCTCAGTACATAAGTGATGGACCAAGAGTGATGCTCGCAGCGAGGATGTTGCTCAGCTGGCAGCATTGCTCTCTAATGAAGGTGAGAGAGTCTCTTTTATAGAATAAGGGCGCATTCCTCAATACATAAATGATGGGCTAGAGTTGATGCTTGCGATTAGGCGGTTGCTCAGTAGGCGGCGATGCTCTCCAATGGTGGTGAGGGAGTCCCTTTTATAGAATAAGGGTTCACTCTTCAATACATAAGTGATAGGTTAGGAGTGATGCTCGCGGTGAGGCGGTTGCTCAGCTGGCGGCGTTGCTCTCTAATGAAGGTGAGAGAGTCCCTTTTATAGAATGAGGGCTCGCTCCTCAATACATAAGTGATGGGCTAAGTCCCCCAAGTATTTTTCATGAGTGCTCTCTAATGAAAGTGAGGGAGTCCCTTTTATAGAATAAGGGTTGACTTCTCAGTACATAGATAATGTGCTAAGTCCCCCAAGTATTTTCATGAGGCCTAGTTGAGGCCTAATATATGGTACATAATGTAGTCCCCCAAGTCTTCGGTCAATAGAGTCTGTTGACTAGAGACTTCAAATTGAATCCATGTATGGGCCGAAATGGCGGTTGTTCGGATGCGGTATTTGTATACCCTGCATTGAAGCTTTGTAGGTGAAGCTTTGCAAGTGAAGCTTTGAAGCTAAAGCTCTGTAAATGAAGCTTTCGAAGCTGAAGCTCTGTAAATGAAGCTTTTAAAGCTAGAGCTTTCGTAAATGAAGCTTTTGAAGCTGATTGACATGAGTGATGCTCATGAATGTTTATGTTGATTGACATGAGTGATGCTCATGAATGTTTATATTGATTGACATGAGTGATGCTCATGGATGTTGACATGAGTGATGCTCATGAATGTTTATGTATGATTGGATGAGTGATGCTCATGAATGTTTATGTATGATTGACATGAGTAATGCTCATGAATGTTAATGTATGATTAACATGAGTAATGCTCATGTATGATTTGAAGTACTGGGCATACTTTTGATCACCTGGTTGGTGGCATGAAGGAGAGTACGAGTTGTACATTTCATCACATGGTTGGTGGCATGAATGGCTAGTTGCCAAATGATATTAGAGTACGGGTTGTACATTTAATCACCTGGTTAGTGGTAATAACGGCAGGTTGCCGAATAATTTTGGAGTACAAGGCGTACTTCTGATCACCTGGTTGGTGCTATTTTGGGCTCATGGGCCTTTGTCCTCCACAACATGCCAGCCCATTTATTTTGGGCTTTGCCGGTTTTTGTTTTTTACCCTCTAATGGGGTTTATACATATTACCTTCTAATGGGGTTTATAAAGATGTTTCCGAAAGATAAGGAAAATAAATTACATCATTCTGGTGGAGTGTTTATTCCTTGCTTTTGCAGTGTCCCCATGTGCATCCCTTTTGCTTTCTCTTTATCCCCATGTGCCTTTCTTTTGCTTTCCTCTTTTTTGCTTTCTAAAATATTCTCCCAACGACATGATCTTTTTCCTTTTTCTTTTCTATTCCTTTCTTGGATCTCTCCACCTCCAGACACATTCACTTGCTTTTGCTTTTACTTTTCCTTTTCTTTCACTTTTCCTTTTGCTTTCGGATTGGAGGACGTTGCCATCCATGCTTCTTCATTTTTCAGCTGGAAAGCTGAAGACCCAAGACTTAGTTCCAGGAACGACGTCGTTAGGGATTGCCGGGGTATGAGAGTACTCCACAACTGTGGCCGTCGTCAGGGATTGTCAGGCATCAAAAGCTGCCGACGACTCAAATTCCTCAAAAAATCATCCATACTGCTTTTAGCAACGTCCCTTACCCAAGCCATTTGATAACAAAACACAAAGGAAAGACCATAATTTTCTCTCTTTATCTATTTTCTCAACAACCAAACAGAGGACCAGAAAAATTAACGAGAAATACAGAGAGGTGTGATTCACCTGGAGAACTTTGGGGCCGAGGAGGTGAGAAGACCTTAGGAGCTTATGCGAGTTAGGCATGGACCTGGCAGAGATGGATTTAAGGTTCATGTTGGTGAGCTCGGCTTCCACTGAGTTCACTACCGTACGCGTGCCGTCGGACAAGGCGGGGTAGATTAGGATCTTCTCCTCCACTTGTTCGAGGTTGCCGAAGAACCATCCTCTGGTACTTAGGGTTTCGATTGTGGCGTCGGCAGCGGCGCTGGAACTCCCTTCCATATTTTTTATGCCAGTTTACCGCGTAGTTTGATTTTGGGGGTTTTCTGAATTTTGCCACGGCGGGTCTGGGTCTTTTCCTTTTCCCCCATTGTAGTGAGTAGTGGATGCTCTCAGGCTTAGATCTAAAGGATAACTTCTCAACTAAAATGATTGAATGAGACTTTGGCTATGGCTTCTGCTGCACCTGCCTTCTCCATCCTCTTTCTCTCCGACGTTGTCTTCTTTCCCGCCTTCTCCCTTGATGCTTAGGATATTGTTGTGTTCTACCTAGATCTTCACGTCCCCTTTCCTGAGCCCAGACATGTCGAATTGGAGATGCAGAGCGTCATCCGTCTCCCCAGCCCAGACATGTCGAGCACCGGTTTAGAATCGACGATTTGCTTGACGATTTCTCGAGTAGTGTTGAGGAGGTTGGTGGTTGTTATGATCGTGCCCAACGACATAACGGTCAGGCAGACGAATAGGAAGAAGATGGAGTTTGGGGACAGAAGGAGGATGACATGGCCCTTTCGGATGCTCATGTCAGAGAGCGAAGAGGCAACTGAACGGACAGCATCTTGAGCTACTGGACAACATCGTGAGCTGCTGGAGGTTGCCACTGGACGACACGTGTGACAGAAGCTAGGGAAGAAAAAGCAGGTGCTGGACGACATCGTGGCAGAAGTGGCAGATGCTGCACAGTCGGCCTGGATGAAGTTAAAAGAAGTAGGTGGAGGTTCCCTTGGAGATCGTGAGCTGCAAGTACCAAGGTCGCGGAGTTGGCTGTGGCGGGTAAGACCTCTGCATGCTCAGATCTGCAATTGAACCGAGAGAATGGTTCTCTTCGAGCTTGGGTACACGGGTCAACGGAGGTGGATTTCCAAGTGCTGATCTTGTTGGATGCGTTCTGCAAGTGAGAAACAAAGCTAGGTGGCGTTCGGCCATGGCTGCCATTTTTGTAAGGGAGAGTAGAGATAGTGAGGAATGTGGCCCTGGTGGCTTTATGTTTGTGGGGGTTTTCTGGAAAAGCCCAAGAAGGTTTTTTGTTTATGCAGATTTTGCAGTGTTCATTTTGTAGATTTTGCAGATTCATGGCGGATGTGAAAAATTGAGAGAGAACCGACATAACTTTTCGTATCGTTTCCCACAGATGGCACCAAATGTTGATGCACAAAACCGGAGGTCTTGGAACAACGTAAATCTGACCGTGAATCTGCAAGTAATGTAAATAACACAAGATGTATCGTGGTTCACCCCAAGGTTTGGGCTACGTCCACACTGATTATATATTTATTTGAGGGAGAGAGAGCTCTGAGAGTGAGAGCTTTGAGAGGGGTGCGAGGGCCTAGGAATTGGCCTCTCCCCAATTGTGAGGGTGAGGGGTCCTTTTATAGAATAAGGACTCCTCACTTATTACATTTTTGCCCCTTTCTTTATCACATAATTACATTTAAGTCCCCCGAGTATTTGTACGAAATCTAAATACGAGGTCCTAAATATGGTATAAACAATATTTTTCTTTAAAAATTTAAATTAGTGAGAAATTCAAACTCAATCCATAAAAATCAATGTAATTGGACTCACGTCTGCCTGTCGAACAAGCGAAAAAACGAAAACAAACACAATAAAAAGAGAGCGTGCCAAAAATAGCAGTGGCAGTAATAACTATTTGGTATATAAAACGCCCAAAACTATTTTTACGACAAAGGAGAGAGAGTGAGTGACTATAATTTATTTATTTACTTATTTATTCTCCTTCCCTTCTCAATACATTTCCTCCTCCGGTGGTGAGCTTCGGTGATCCGTTCTTCTCCCTCGATCCATCTCCACCGTCTGATCCCCGGAGGCATACCCTACAACCGCCACCACCGTCACCTTCTTACAATTCCACAATCCGATTCCCACTCCCTCTCATACGTATATGTTGTTGTAGATGGTTTGAGAAAATTGAGGAGTTTGGCTGAAGAAAAAAAAAAGATGGGTGTGATTTCAAGGCAAGTGTTCCCTGTTTGTGAAAGCCTGTGTTTCTTCTGTCCAGCATTGCGTGCGAGATCACGGCATCCCGTCAAACGATACAAGCAGATGCTCGCCGAGATATTTCCTCGCTCTCCGGTGTGATCTCTTTTATTCACATTTTTATTCTTGTTGGGTATTTTTAAAATTAATGTGAATGTCTAATTGAAGATTAATTTTATGCTGCAAATTGAAAAAAAAAAAAAAAAAGAACCATGTAAATTGTATACAGAAGCAATGTGAGGCGTTTTGGTTATTGGGGGATCTTGTGAAAAAAATGGTAACTTGTGTTGCAAGAAACGAACAATTTTCTCTTTATTATTCACTATATAATGAGGTCGGATAATATGGTGAAGCTTTCTGTAAGTTACATTGTTAAATTTACGGTTCTTATCACGTTACCATAGTGTTATCCAAAAATTGTTCACAATTTGGTGTTTGCATTTCCCCTTCTTTTTCCTCCTTTAATATGAATTCCTCACAATTTTGTGTTCGGACTTTTTGTTTAATCAGGGTTTGAGCACAACTGGTTTGTATGCAAAGTTTTTATTTCATGTTTGTTCCTTCAGTTGTGTTATTGGATCATTTCTTTCCCTTTTTGGCAGGACGAAGAACCAAACGATCGCAAGATTAGTAAACTATGTGAATATGCTTCAAAAACTCCTCTCCGTATTCCAAAGGTGCAACCTCTTCTCATTGTGTAAAATATGGTTCACATTGTTGCCATGAACTTAAGTGATAATTTAATGTCAAAATTGTGATGTATCCTCGTATATGAAGCTGCTGACTTAAGTCAATTTGGGTGAGGGTATGATTTTCTTAGAATGATATACTAGTTTAACTGGTTAAACAGAAAAGTTGAAGGTCCTTGTGGAATTTAGTCACAGTTCTACTGATGTGGAAGTTTCTTTTGGTTTGGAGGACTCTTCAGGAGGAGGGACCGTTGTTTATAAGGGCGGTTTGTATTAAGTACTACACCAAATTGAACTGGTAAAGTAACTAGAGATGGTCAATTTGTAAGAGGCATATGTGTAGTCCCAAAATCTGAGATTAATTGAAACACAATACCTCTTATGTTTTGGCTAAGATGATGAAGAATGATAGTTAATTATGTGCATGAACTTAATTATGGAAAGTAATGACATTTAAATTTGAAACATGCTAAACAGAAGGGATTCATTATATTTAAATGGTTCCTTACCTTTTAATTTTCTTCCGGTCTATCGTTGTTTTTTCACCCCTTAGTAAATAATGTTTATTCATTTTCTTGACCTTTCAAAGTTATAAATTTTATTTTACTTTTCATTTGTGTATTCTTCTGTTAAGTTGATAGAGGTTCTAAATTTATAATTCAGATCACAACTACTCTGGAGCAACGGTGTTACAAGGATTTGAGGACTGAAAACTTTCACTCAGTGAAAGTTGTCATGTGCATCTACCGGAAGTTGTTGGTCTCTTGTAAGGAGCAAATGTGAGTTATTTATCGAGGTTGTTGCTTAGTATGTTTCTGTCTTCAGATTCCAAAACATTATTGAGAAAGCCTAGATCAATTGGCTGGAGTGCTAGACTGATGACAACTTACTTGACACCAAATTTGTGAATTTTCACCTCAGAATAATGTGCCTATTTGAGTCTTAACCTGTGAAAATTATGGGGCACTTTTATACAACAACAACAACAACAACAAAGCCTTTTCCCACTAAGTGGGGTCGGCTATATGAATCCTAGAACGCCATTGCGCTCGGTTTTGTGTCATGTCCTCCGTTAGATCCAAGTACTCTAAGTCTTTTCTTAGAGTCTCTTCCAAAGTTTTCCTAGGTCTTTCTCTACCCCTTCGGCCCTGAACCTCTGTCCCGTAGTCACATCTTCGAACCGGAGCGTCAGTCGGCCTTCTTTGCACATGTCCAAATCACCAGAGCCGATTTTCTCTCATCTTTCCTACAATTTCGGCTACTCCTACTTTACCCTCGGATATCCTCATTCCCAATCTTATCCTTTCTCGTGTGCCCACACATCCCACGAAGCATCCTCATCTTCTCCGCTACACCCATTTTGTGTACGTGTTGATGCTTCACCACCCAACATTCTCTGCCATACACCATCGCTGGCCTTATTGTCGTCCTATAATAAAATTTTCCCTTGAGCTTCAGTGGCCTACGACGGTCACACAACACGCCGGATGCACTCTTTCCATCCAGCTCGTATTCTATGGTTGAGATCTCCATCTAATTCTCCGTTCTCTTGCAAGATAGATCCTAGGTAACGAAAACGGTCGCTTTTTGTGATCTTCGCTAGATTGCTCCGGTCATTAGTGTGGATAAGTATATAAATGGATAGAGATAGGAAAGCAAACACAAGATGTACGTGGTTCACCCAGATTGGCTACGTTCACGGAATAGAAGAGTTCTCATTAATTGTGAAGGGTTTACACAAGTACATAGGTTCAAGCTCTCATTTAGTGAGTACGAGTGAATGATTTAGTACAAATGACATTAGGAAATATTGTGGGAGAATGATCTCGTAATCACGAAACTTCTAAGTATCGGAGTGTGGTGACGTCTTGACTTGCCTTATCTGTCTCATAGGTAGATGTGGCATCTTCTCTGGAAGTACTCTTTCCTCCATCCAGGGGTGGTATCTTTAACTGGTGGAGATGCACAAGGTAAAATGTATCAATTTCACTTGAAGCTTACTTGTAGTTTCAGGCTTGGTCAAGCGCGATACAAACCATGTAGTAGGAGTCCCCCCAAGTCGCCGAGCTAGGGGGTCTGCTGAAAGAGGTGACAGACAAGGGTAAGCAATCAGAGCTCCGACTGATTGTTCACCTTCTCCCCCATCTTGCAGCAGCATGAAGGATAAAGAGAAGAAAAAATGAGAAGAGATGATATGAGATACTTTTTGCTTTTGAAGAAGTAACTTTCCACAGGCTTATTCTTGAACTGAGCTGGAGGGTTTTCTGGTTTCCTCCAGAGTATAAGGCCGACTGAAGAATTTGAGGGTCAAAACAAGTCCATCAAATCTAGAGTACGTTCCACCCTGCTGATATGGGATACTTTTGCTTTTGACAGAGTAATGGATGTATCGGCACGTGTGCTGTTACGCTTGTCTCCCACATGCTTCCTTGTATCCTTCGCACTTGCCCTATCTGTTCCTCAAGCAGATGTGGAATCTTCCCTGGAAACATAAGATGTTGAAGATGAGTACTCGAGAGCAATGTCAGGTAAGTAATCAGGTAAGGGGTTCCAGGCAGTCAGTTCCTGGCTGGAAGCTTGATTCCAAGTGCTGACTGATTGCTCTCTTTCTCCTTGTCTTGCAGGTAAAAACAAGGCCAAAAGAAAAAACAGGGAAAAAGCATGATATGGGATACTCTTGCTTTTAACCCTGATGATATGAGATATTCTTGCTCTAGTATAGCTTGTTTGCAGAGGTATTATCAGGGGGAAAGAAAGCTGAATATTTCGAAAGGCTTTGTTGGGAGTGTGCCCTCTCAGATATGATGAAGGGTTTAGCATTTTTGCAGGTCTGCCTGTCCGTTGGGGATGGAGGTCGACATATATAGGGGTCTCCCTAACAACAAGTAGTAAATGCTATTCCTTTACCCTGCTTGGTCATAGCACGGTAGTGGGAGCTGCCAGTTTCACATGTTTTTAACTCTGTCAGAGCACTTTGAAAAAGTGGTCTGTGGTATCTGGCTCTCGAGATTCGGAGAACGATGCCTCTTCGATTTTTTTGAGAAAGCAATCATGCTGGGGGTCTGACTCTCGAGATTCGGAGAGCAGTGTCTCTTCGATTTTTTAGGAAGTAATCATGTTGGGAGTCTGGCTCTCGAGATTCGGAGGGCGGTGCCTCTTCGATTTTGGAGCAAGCAAATCTTGTTGGGAGTGTTGTCTCGAATGTGAGTAAAGGTTGGATATGTTTGCTAGTCTACCTTGCCACGAAGCACAAAGGTTGACACACAAGGACTTTCCAATTATCCAGCAATGGTACTGTTCCTTTTACCCTCTCTTCGATTTTGAGAAAGTAGTCATGTTGGGAGTCTGGCTCTCGAGATTCGGAGGACGGTGCCTCTTCGATTTTGGAGCAAGCAAATCTTGTTGGGACTGTTTTCTCGAATGTGAGTAAAGGTTGGGCATGTTTGCTAGTCTACCTTGCCACGAAAGCACAGAGGTTGACACACAGAGACTTTCCAATTATCCAGCAGTGGTACTGTTCCTTTACCCTTGTGGGTAATAATATGGTAGCTAGACCTTCAAAATTTATGTGTCTAAACTTTGTTAGTGCTGTTTCTTTGCTATTCTTTTACCTTTCTTGGTCAGAGCGATGTAGTGGGAGCTGCAAGCTTCACGTGCTCAACTTTGGCAGAGAACTTTGGCAAAGTGATCTGTGGTACCCATGAGTTATTGTTGCGTGTGGGAAGTGGGTGATTGAACAGTAAGATTCATGTGCTTTCTACTTCACCAGAAGTCTTCGACAGAATGCCCATAATTTCTGCAAAGCTGAGTGTGCGTGTGACAGGTGCTGCTGACAAGGCTAGAAAAGTAGGTGCCTCTTCGATTTCTGAGATCGGCCCTCGTGGTCTCTGAGCAGCCCAGCTTTTGAGAAAGCGAGCGCCTCTTCGATTGATTTCGGAGAACGGTGCCTCACCGATTTTTGAGAAAGCAATCATGCTGGGGGTCTGGCTCTCGAGATTCGGGGAGCAGTGTCTCTTCGATTTTTGAGAAAGTAATCATGTTGGGAGAGTGGCTCTCGAGATTCGGAGGGCGGTGCCTCTTCGATTTTGGAGCAAGCAATCTTGTTGGGAGTGTTTTCTCGAATGTGAGTAAAGGTTGGGCATGTTTGCTAGTCTACCTTGCCACGAAGCACAGAGGTTGACACACAGGGACTTTCCAATTATCCAGCAATGGTACTGTTCCTTTACCCTCTCTTCGATTTTTTAAGAAAGTAGTCATGTTGGGAGTCTGGCTCTTTAGATTCGGAGGACGGTGCCTCTTCGATTTTGGAGCAAGCAATCTTATTGGGAGTGTTTTCTCGAGTGTGAGTAAAGGTTGGGCATGTTTGCTAGTCTACCTTGCCACGAAGCACAGAGGTTGACATACATGGACTTTCCAATTATCCAGCAGTGGTACTTGTTCCTTTACCCTTGTGGGTAATAATATGGTAGCTAGACCTTCAAAATTTATGGGTCTAAACTTTGTTAGTGCTGTTTGTTTGCTATTCTTTGACCCTTCTTGGTCAGAGCGATGTAGTGGGAGCTGCAAGCTTCACGTGCTCAACTTTGGCAGAGAAACTTTGGCAAAGTTATCTGTGGTACACCCATGAGCTATTGTTGCGTGTGGGAAGTGGGTGATTGAACAGTAAGATTCATGTGTTTTCTACTTCCCCAGAAGTCTTTGACAGAATGCCCATAATTTCCGCAAAGCTGAGTGTGCGTGTGACAGGTGCTGACAAGGCTGGAAAAAGTAGGTGCCTCTTCGATTTCTGAGATCGGCCCTCGTGGTCTCTAGGGAGCCCAGCTTTTGAGAAAAGCGAGCGCCTCTTCGATTTCTGAGATCGGCCTTCGTGGTCTTTGAGCAGCCCAACTTTTGAGAAAGCAAACGGCTCTTCGATTTCTGAGATCAACCCTCGTGATCTCTAAGCAGCCCAACTTTTGAGAAAGCAAACGCCTCTTCGATTTCTGAGCAGGCGCCCTCTTTGATTTCTGAAGCTCCGTCGAGTGCAGATTTTTTATAGGGGCTGGCATTAAGTTTCCAAAGCACACTTGAATCTCCACCAGTAGAAGCTTCATTCTTGCACTTCTAAGATCTTGATTTGTCCGACCTCTTCTCTTCAACACCTTTGAAAATGTCTGGCCCCCCTCCGACCGTCGTTTTTGACTTGAACCTTGTTGAAGAGGCAGCCCCGCCTTCTCCAGACAACATATGGCGCCCATCCTTTCGTCTCCCCAATTGGTCTTCTTACCCGTTGGGGATTCCGTGATGAAGAATGATATGACCGCTGCGGTGGTGGCCAGGAACCTTCTCACTCCCAAAGATAACAGACTACTTTCCAAACGGTCTGATGAGTTAGCTGTTAAGGATTCGCTGGCTCTCAGTGTTCAGTGTGCAGGTTCTGTGTCTAATATGGCCCAACGCCTATTTGCTCGAACCCGCCAAGTTGAATCATTGGCGGCTGAAGTGATGAGTCTCAAACAGGAGATTAGAGGGCTCAAGCATGAGAATAAACAGTTGCACCGGCTCGCACATGACTATGCTACAAACATGAAGAGGAAGCTTGACCAGATGAAGGAAACTGATGGTCAGGTTTTACTTGATCATCAGAGATTTGTGGGTTTGTTCCAAAGGCATTTATTGCCTTCGTCTTCTGGGGCTGTACCGCGTAATGAAGCTCCAAATGATCAACCTCTGATGCCTCCTCCTTCTAGGGTTCTGTCCAGTACTGAGGCTCCAAAATGATCCCCCTCCGGTGCCTTCT